AGTGACATTTGTGTGAAGGACTTGGGCTTTAAGTCACTTTTGCCACCCCTTTGCCACGTGGACGCCTGAACGCCACGTATGTAGATATTTCCTGCCAGCTGTCAAGGTGAATAGTGGATGGACAAATGCCACGTGGACCAATCAGTTTTCGTGATGCATATTGGCGCATGCAATGCAATTTGTAGGGACAGTTGAGTTCAGCATGTACATATAGAAATTTATGTTACTGTAAGTACATTTTTATACAACAGACCTGACAAAACGCCCTAATACCATAATCAACATGATCTGGCACAACTAAATAATCTAACTGCAGGTACTTCAACAGAATCAAAACATTTACGCCCTTTCAACCACTTGAGCCTGGAGTTCTGAAACACACGTAAAATCAGAAACACAATCCAAGACAGGGAGTAGTACCTGCAAAATCTGATGTTAGCCAGGCGAGAACAAATGTAGTAGTAGACATACCTGCGGCCACTTACCTGTTTGCCGCAGTGGACTACGAATGCTTGTGCCGTTTAATAAGTCAACATGTTTACGAAATACATCGACATTAATACAAGGTCGCGCAAATGAGGAGCGCACCACACGATGTTAAGAAAATACACATCTGCACACAAAGCGGCATAATTCGACCAAGAGAGAACGCACTCCCAGCGTTGTGTCAGAATATTATTCTTATGTTCTAGCCTGTAGTGGGGTGCTCTATAGCGAGTACAACCCTTCTAGGGTTTGCTATTTGTATCCCCATTTCTGCTAGTTCATTCCTCTTTCCTCTTTCTTTCATATAATTTTATCATGCTATCAGAGCAGGTCGATCCCCTTGGATCGATCCTGTGGGTGGGTTACCACCTCGCTTCCGCTGCTACTTTTTCCTCCCGCCGTGCGCCCCAAGGCGCGCGGCGGTTTTCTGCCCGCCGTGCGCCCCGAGGCGCGCGGCGGTTCTTTGCCCGCTGTGCGCCCCGAGGCGCGCGGCGGGCTTCTGCCCTACGTCGCGGCCCCGCCCTGCGTCGCGGCCCAGCCCCTCGAAGCGGCCCCGACCGTCGCGGCCCCGCCCCTCGACGCGGCCCCGCCCTACGTCGCGGCCCCGCCCTGCGTCGCGGCCCCGCCCCTCGAAGCGGCCCCGCCCTATGTCACGGCCCCGCCCCGACCGTCGCGGCCCCGCCCCTCGACGCGGCCCCGCCCTACGTCGCGGCCCCGCCCTACGTCGCGGCCCCGCCCCTCGTCGCGGCCCCGCCCCGACCGTCGCGGTCCCGCCCCTTGTCGCGGCCCCGCCCTCCAACCAGGCCCGTGGTGGGCCCCTTTCACCACACCGCCCCCCCCCCCCCCCCCCCCCCCCCCCTTCCCCCTGCCATTTCCCGTCACCCGTCGCGGCTCCTTCGGGGGCCGCGAGCTGTGGGGTGGCGGGTATGGGGGTGGCCGGTGTGCCTTCCTCCCTTGCTCCTCCTCCTCCTTCGTCTCCCACTGCTGCAGCTGTCGCTGAGGGGGGTGGTTGTGTGGGAGACTGGGGTTTAGGGTTTAAGGGGGGGTGCGTGGGAGTAGAGCTAGCGGTGTAGCAGTGGGTGTGTATCAGGGGGGTGGGACTGTTTGCGGGAGGTTGAGCGGAGGCTGCCGGCTTGTCGTCCGCAGCACCTGTAGTCCGGGGCGCTGTCCCGGTAGCCCAGTCGTAGCCAGCTGTGCCAGCCGCCCGTGGGTCCGTTGCCCGTCCGCCGCTATTTGAGCCGCGGGGCCTGTTACTCCTGTAGTCCGGGCGCTTTCCGGTAGCCGCTGTGCCTGTCTGCAGCTTCAGCCGTCGCCTCCTGTCTCCTCTCCCCTCACTCTCCCTCCTCCTCCTCACTTGCCCGTTGTGACTACCACTAGCTTTGCTTATAATTGTGAACTCTAAACTATTTCTTCTTGAACTTGTGCTCAGAATGTGTGGTGACATTGTGATCCACCCTGAGCTTGTTTTGCTTTGCCTGCTCTGCTGATTACACCCCACTTTGGCTATGGGGGTGTGTCAGAATATTATTCTTATGTTCTAGCCTGTAGTGGGGTGCTCTATAGCGAGTACAACCCTTCTAGGGTTTGCTATTTGTATCCCCATTTCTGCTAGTTCATTCCTCTTTCCTCTTTCTTTCTTATAATTTTATCATGTTGCCCTCCATTCCGTGCACAGCACGGTACGTCATGAGTTAGGCAACAACAACAAAAAGGAGAAACAGGGTATCGACGTACCGATAAAAGACCGTCTCAGTGACTCATTTACACCCGTTGTACGGTTGTAAAATGGCTCCCGACCTCCAGTTGAATTTGGACTTCAACCTGGACAATGGCACAAGGAGAAAAAAAAAAAAACGACGCAATAAGACTTTAGGTTAAAACGAGAATACTTAGGGAAGACGGATCTGATCGAGGCAGAAAAGATTGATGCACAGAAGAGCAGCGCGCCTAGTAACTAGAGAAAAACGTTAAGTTTTGAGAAGAACAAGAGCAGAAAATGAGACACAAAGCTAGGAGGAGGTAGAAGAAGGGGTTGGTTGGGAGCACATTCGAGAGGTTCTAGGTTCAAAGCTGACGTGGAGATGAGGAATCATGCTGATTGGTGGGCTCAGGTTTGTTTCCCACATCGAATGGTTCAGAACCACAAGATGTGGTTCTGATTCCTGAATCAGTAGAGTTTTGGTTGGCGACGTTACCACGAAATTCGGGAAACACAGTTGGCGTGTAACATTCGCGCTGCTTGTTGATTGGTCGTTTCAATTTCAGCTCGGAGAAATTTCGGTCACACAAGTAACATTTCGTCAGCTGTGCGAAATTGCCACCAACCTTAACTCCCTAATCCGCACTGTAACGCTCTTTAACACGCGAGACACAAGTGGGTGTGCACATTTGAGGGGTGAAAGTGACATTTCCGTAGCTGTTTTGTTGCGCCATATAGGTGACATTCTCGCAACTTTCACCCTGGGTGTTTTTCCGAAGGTTTTCCGCAGCTTTTCCGCAAGAAAAGCTACCGTGTACATTTTGTGCCCACAAGAGATTTCGCGATGCAGGCCGCCTTACCAAAGCTCATCAATCCAGCGCAAGCGGCGTTCATTAAAGGCCGGAGGATAGGCGACACTATAAATGATACATTGGACCTCTTGGAGTGGGCTGCCTCACAAAAATACCCACTTCTAATCCTTACCGTCGACATTCGGAAGGCTTACGACATGGTGGACAGGCCTTTCATGTATGCGTGCCTGCAGCACCTGGGCATTCCGTCTGGCTTCATACGTTGGGTGTCCATGCTGCACTCAGACACCTCTACTAGAGTGTCAGTTAACAATTTCTCTGGCCCCCTCTTTCCCGTACGCTCAGGTGTCCGTCAGGGTTGCCCTCTTGCCCCCCTTCTCTTTGTCTGCGTAGTTGAGGTGATGCAGAGATACTTACAAGAGTTTCTCCCCGGCTACGCATTCAACCAATCACAACGACGTCTCGCAGCCTGCTATGCCGATGACATTTCTCTTTTTCTCAACTCTGAAGTGCAGGATCATCGGATGATTCGTTGCCTTCGAGAAGTCACGCATGGCATCGCTCATGAGCTGGGTGGGAAACCTTTGCTGACAGAATACTCCCTGATATCGGCGTAGGGTGTAACGAGTGGCGATGGGGGGACTGCAGTGGGCGGAACGGGAGTGATGCGGCGATCAATGCAGCGATCTGCAATCTTTGGGGACACGGGGAAGGGATTGTTGACGTGCGGAGGCTTGGAAATCAGGGCAGATGCGAAGCAAATTTTATCCAGAGGATCATCCCTGTTTGGGGTCTGGGCATGGAAGATGACGGTCAGGTAAGGTGGGGAAGGACGGCCTCAGGGTGCGTTTCAATCCCGTGTCAGACATCAAGTCATGCGGCCTTATCTCTAATTTGTCTCTTCCGAACTTCCAATCGCCCCAACAACGAGCCACTTCGGGTCTTCCGAACTTCCGCTTCGTGTCAAACCTAATGTCTCACCCGGGATAAAAACGCGTCCTCATTCAAAGAAGGTCATCTGGTGGACGCACATCGGCCTCATTGGGGCTTGCTGGTTGGGGTGGGGAAGAACGGAGTGAAGTGGCTTGGGTGGAGTCAATTCTGGACCTGGAGCAGGGCTGTCGACTGGTCTGGGTCCAACCCGTAAGAAGTTGAGCTGTCTCGAAAACAACCCTGAGCTATCCGGGAAGCGGTCGTAAAATCAGGGCATTCATATTTCCGGCTCTGAGAATGCATGCGTAATAAAGCTAAGTTATTGAGCTATACATACACTAAAGAGCAGCATACGTTAGTGGAACGTGGGGGGCTGGTGTTGTTGGGAGGAGTGGGAGAGGAACAAGTTCGCGGTCTAAGGTGGGGAAGAGAGGGGGGAAGGGGAAGGGGGGTGGCAGGTACGGAAATCCGGGGAGCCCCAAAATCTGTCCGTTAGAAATCCGGGCTGGGGAAAAAACCAGCCCTGAAAATCTCCGAGCTGAGCTAAAACTACCCCGGAAGTCTCAGAGAAAACTGACAAATGTCCGTGAATCGACAGGCATGACCTGGAGTCAGCCCAAACAAAACAGGATTTGTGCTTGACACGAGCTTTGGGCTGGAGAGTGCGTCTGTCGGGATCAGGTCAGGGGTGTCAAAATTCTTTGACGATTCAGAGTCCTGATTCCCGAATCACAACAGATTCCCGACAGCACGATTTGGTTTGCAGGTCCGTGGCCCCACGTGGGACTTTTAGGAGCCAATCCTACACACGTGGGACGTGCATGCATGAATCGACAACTATTTCCTCAGCAGAGTGTGCCCCGTTGCAGTGCCATTACCACCTTATCTTAAAGTCCCGATACATATCAGACACAAGAGTACACCAGTGTACCCCAATAGGCGTGCAGAGCACGCAAGTGCAATCAAAATGATGTGAAGTACGATTATTGGTAAGTGTTATAAACTGTGTTACATGCTGTTGAAGGTCCAGGCAGTTATGTACATAGTACGTATTAATGCTAGTAAGCTTATCATTTTTCTGCTTCCGCAGAGCCATTTTCATGCTTATGTGCAGCACGCAGTGTATCGCTAACGAACGCAGCACCATCAGAACAAGGTGGTCTCCCCGTGAGCTTCTGTCTCTTGTGCATGGCCTCATCCCTCTCCACCACATTCTGAGTAATGGCATTGAGAGATCGAGAGGAACACAAAGACGGGAGGGAAGGAGGGAAAAAGAGAGTGAGAGAAGCAATGTCTCCCTGTGAGCCTCTCTCCCGTGTGCATGGCCTCATCCCTCTCCACCACATTCTGAGTAATGGCATTGAGAGATCGAGAGCAGCACAGGGAGGCGGGGCAGAGGGAAGGGAGGACAGGAGGGACATGGAAGAAGAAGGGTATGTATGTATGGGGACAACGATGGGGGCATGTGCATGCTACCAGTAACCAGTATGTTGGGGAGGCCGCTTTTTGAGTCAACTCAAAAGCAGACAAAGATGGGGGCATGCGCATGCTACCAGTAACCAGCATGTTGGGGAGGGAGTGCGAGTGAGAGAGTCAAAACCTGTGCCAAAAAAAGGAGACAGACAACCCCTACGCTATGCAGTCCAGTTTGTACTCGTTACAAGCTTCCTCAAAAGACGAACGTGGCCATCCTCTCACTCCTGCGGGGTCGAGCCTATTAATGGTGACAACATGGCGTGAAAGGCTCAGTTTGTACTCGTCGGGTTCATGCTCAAAATACCGCTGTTGCCACTCAGCACTGCTCTCACCTGTGCGGGTGTCAACATGTGTAAGACAGCCACATGCCTCGAGAGGTTGACTTTGTATGCGAGGCGCTGGGAGCAGCCTGGGAGTATTTGCACTCACTCTAACGCTCCCCAACACACACCACAGTCACCACTGCGTTCACCTGTGCAGGCATTATCATGTGCATGGCTGCCACGTGGCGTGAGAAGTTCACTTTGTATGCGAAGCACTGGGAGCAGCCAGGGAGTGTGGCTGCAATCAGTATAAGGCTCCCTAACACTAGCACGTGCTCTCACCTGTGTGGGTGTTAGTGCGTGAATGGCTGCCACGTGGCGTGAAAGGTTGACTTTGTATTCAAAGCACTGGGAGCAGCCTGCGAGTGTTTGCACTCACTCTAACGCTCCCCAACACACCACACAGTCAGCATTGCTCTCACCTGTGCGGGAGTGAGGACGTGTATGGCGACCACGTGGCGTGAGAGGTTGACTTTGTATGCCAAGCGCTGGGAGCAGCCTGGGAGTTGAAAGCTCCTGTGCACATACCACAGTCAGCACTGCTCTCACTCTCACCTGTGCGGGTGCAATCTCGTGTATGGCTGCAATATGCCGTGAGAGGTTGACTTTGTATGCAAAGCGCTGGGAGCAGCCTGGCACGGAGCAGGCAAAGGGGCGGTCCTCCTGGTGGCATGCCCTAATGTGCGTTCTCAGGTTGCTGGGCTGCTCTGGGAAGGAGGGGGGGAAGAAAGGGAGAGGAGGGAGAGTAGGAAGAGGGCCATGCAATAAGTGAGCTTGTAAAAGGGCGGTCCTTCTGGTGACACGCCCTGATGTGCGCCCTCAGGTTGCTGGGCTGAACTGAGGAGGAGTGGGGGAGGGAGGGTGAGAGAGGGGAAAGGAAGGGAGAGTAGGGGGAGGTTGACTTGGTATGTGAAGCGCAGGGAGCAGTGTGGGAGGGAACAGGCGAAGGGGTGGTCCTTCTGGTGACACGCCCTGATGTGCGACCTCGGGTTGCTGGGCTGCTCTGAGGAGGAGGGCGGGGAAAGGGAGAAAGAAAGGGAGGGTAGGGAGACGTTCACTTGGTATGTGAAGAGCTGACAGCAGCCGGGGGCTGAGCCTACTTTTGAGTCGACTCATAAACTGACAGCAGCCTGGGGCCGAGCAGGCAAAGGGAGGATTGTGCTGGTGGCACAATTGTGGCACTCCCTGTTGTGCACCCTCAGGGTGCCGTGTTGCATGGTGAAGGGAGGGAGCAGCAGGTGTTTTAAGCGGGGATCACAGCATCAGCAGTCTAGGCGAATCACAGAGCTGAACGCCTTGCTGCACCCATCCACCTTGCACGGGTGGGATGGTCGTTGCTCCAGCTCATGCTGCTCCTTCAAATGACGCTTGAAACTGGAAAAGGATATGCGATTGGTACGGCGGGGGCTCGGCAGGGAGAGGGACTCACAGAGCTGAACGCCTTGCTGCACCCATCCACCTTGCATGGGTGGGATGGTCGTTGCTCCACCTCATGCTGCTCCTTCAAATGGCGCTTGAAGCGAGAGAAAGAGATGCGCTTGTTGCAGTGCTGGCATGGCACGGAGCGGTGCTGCTGCTGTGTGTGCTGCTCCAAGGCAGGGAGGGACGGGAAGGCAGTAAAGCAGAAGCCACATATGGCCCCATCTGCTCCCTCTGCTGCGCCATCCGTGCCCTCCCCTGCTGCTGCTGCTGCTGCAGCTGTACTTTCTGCTGCTGCATCCCCGTCACTTGATGCTGATGTGTCGCCCTCTCCTTCGCTCCCTGTCGAAGCTCCTTCCCCTTCTGCGTGCCTTGCCTCAGTGCCTTCACATGGTCCCTTCCTTGAATTGCCTTCTCCCAATGCCTCCAGCTTCCTCTCCCTTGTCTTGCCATCTCGTTCCTCAGTGCCTTCACATGGTCCCTTCCTTGTCTTGCCATCTCGTTCCTCAGTGCCTTCACATGGTCCCTTCCTTGTCTTGCCATCTCGTTCCTCAGTGCCTTCACATGGTCCCTTCCTTGTCTTGCCATCTCGTTCCTCAGTGCCTTCACATGGTCCCTTCCTTGTCTTGCCATCTCGTTCCTCAGTGCCTTCACATGGTCCCTTCCTTGTCTTGCCATCTCGTTCCTTACACTTTACCAGCTTTCCTGCCGCCATCTCCTTGCTTCTCACCACATGCTTCTCTCTCACCACGTCCTTATCACACCACCTCCTTCGCTTCCAGCTCATCATCCCAGCCTGCTTGTACTTCCTTACCCCCTCTGACGCCACTTCTGATGCCATTGCTCCTTTGCCAACCTCCACCTTCCCCTGACCCGCTCCCCTTCCCTCCTCTCCTCGCATCAACTTTTGAGGCGCCTCACAACCACCCCCTGACGCCACAGCTCCTGTACCAACCGCCACTTCTGATGCCATTGCTCCTTTGCCAACCTCCACCTTCCCCTCACCCCCTCCCCCTCCTTCTCCTCGCATCGCCACCTCCACTTCCCTCACGCCTTCCCTTATCCTCCCATCAGCACCCTCACCAGCCACACCACCAGCCACACAACCAGTCCCCCCACCGCCCACACTCGTACCAACAGTCGCCATTGCATCGGCATCGGTTGCCACCTCATCAACAGCTTCTGCCACATCACCATCAGCTGCTGTAATATCAGCATCGCCACCTGCCACATCACAAACAGCCACTTCTGCATCACCATCAGTTGCTGCCACATCAGCACGAGCTGCCACGTCAGCATCAGCTGCCGCCACACCACCACCAGTCGTCCCCACAGCAGCACCAGAGCTTAAGCATACTGCATCTTGCAGCAGTAGCAACCCATTCCCGCCCACGTGCTTCCCCCTCAGGTGCCCCCTCAGGTCAGGTGTCCTCCCAGGTGCTCTTCCCCCAGGTGCTCCCCGCTCAGGTGTTCCCCCAGGTGCTGCTCTTGCCTTGCTAATTGCTCCTCTCGTTGCCTCAGATCCTCGTTCTGTTGTTTCAGGTGCTCCCTCTGTTGTCTCAGGTGCTCCTGCTGCCGCCTCAGAAAATCCTCCTCCTCCTTTAGGAGAATCTCCTTCCTCCTCAAGTGCTCCTTAACTGCCCTCAGCTGTTCCTTCTGTTGGTTCAGGTGATCTTTCATCTCCATACCAGGCTGCTCCTTCTCCTTCAGGTGCTTCTCCAGGCGATCCTCACCAACCCCCAGGTGTTTCTTCAGGTGCTGCTTCTGTTGCTGCAGGTGGCCCTGCATCCCTTGCACCGCCCCTTCTCTCCCATTGGTCGCAAGGATCTCTCTGTTATCCTCCACGTCAGCAGATTCTTGCCTGTCTGCTTCAGCAGCATCAAACAATTCAGCATCACACATTTGAGTGTCAAACCGCTTCTCACCACTCCCCATCACACTCAAACCCTTTCCAGCCCCTTCATCACCCCTTCTCTCCTCCTGCTCGCCTTCTCTCTTCTGATTTCCCCCTCCTCTCCTTCCCCCCTCTGCTGCGATCCTCTCCTCCTCACCTCCTCTCTTCTCGTCTCCACCTCTCTTTTCCTCCTCCCTCTCCTCCTCCCCTCCTCTCCCCTCGTCTCCACCTCTCCTTTCCTCCTCCCTCTCCCCCTCCCCTGCTTTCCTCTCCTCCCTTCCTCTCTGCTCCTCCTCCCCTCCTCTCCGCTCCTCATTCCCAGCTATCCCCTCCTTCCCCCCTCCTCCAATCCCTCCTGTTGCTTCTGCTGTCTTCTCACATTCCTTCTCTTGTGTTTTCTCCTGCGCTTCCTCCTGCGTTTTCTCCTTCGGTTTCTCCTGTATTATTTCCTGTGCTTTCTGCATTTTCTCCTGTGCTTCCTGCGTCTTCCCCTGTGCTTTCTCCTCTGTTTTCTGCTGTCCCTTCTGCTGTCTTCTCTCCTGGACCCCAACCTTCTCCTGAACCTTATGCTCCGCACCCCCTCCCTTACTCTCTCTCTTCACCCTACACAACCGATCACCAATCCCCCCCTCCTCCTCCTGCTTCCCCTTGCTCTCTCTATTTACTCTATCCAGCCGGTCTCGGATGCCCTCCTCCTCCCAGTGCTGTTCCCTCACGTGCCGCTGCATGCTGGCATGCAGGCTGAATGTTTGGGTGCAGTGTGGGTGCGGACACGGAAACTGGTAGGGTGGGGATGTAGGGGTTGCACAGATGGAGGGAGGCAAGAGAATCAGGAGAACATCGACCTCCCTCCCGTGCCGTTGCTGCTTCGCCTTGATCTCTCTGTTGATTCGATCAAGCCGGTCTCGAATGCCCTCCTCCTCCCAGTGCTGCTCCCTCACGTGCCGCTGCATGCTGGCGTGCAGGCTGAACGTCTGAGTGCACTGCGGGTGTAGGCAGGGGAACTGGGGGGAAGTAGGGAAAGAAAATGGAAAAAGAGGATTGGGGAGGGAGACAGAATCAGGGGAACAGTACCCTCACGTGTCGCTGCATGCTGGCATGCAGGCTGAATGTTTGGGCGCACTTAGGGTGCGGGCAGGGGAACGGGTGGGGTGGGATGCAGAGGAAGGAGAGGATCGGGAGAGGAGATTGATAAAAGGAACAGCCTCACCTGTCGCAGCATGTCTTATGATGCAAAAACAGGCCCGGTCAGGGGCGTGGGATGGGAGGCTGCATGTGGCGCTGCAGGTTGTACTTCCTTCCTCCTGAACAATGAGACTTGTGAGTCGACTCATATGATTAGGATGGCGTTGGTAGCATGGAAAGGGGAGGAACTTACCTGGTCGAGGGCATGGGATGGGAGGCTGCATGTGGTAGTTCCTTCTTCCTGAATGATGAGACTTGTGAGTCGACTCATATGATTGGGTTGGCGTTGGTAGCATGGAAAGGGGAGGAACTTAACTGGTCAGGGGCATGGGATGGGAGGCTGCATGTGGTAGTTCCTTCTTCCCGAATGATGAGACTTGTGAGTCGACTCATATGATTGGGTTGGCATCACTAGCACGGAAAGGGAGGGACTCACCCGGTCGGGAGCATGCGACTGCATGTGGCGCTGCAGGTGGCTATGTTGCGCCTGACGCGTCAGGCGTTTTTTACGCTGGCGTCTGGACGGGGCGTCCAGACGCTTGACGCCCGGTGCCCTCTGCCCTGGACGCCCGCTTGACGCTAGTCCGGGCAGGGCAAAAATGTTTTCTGGGCAGGGGTAAAAAAACCTGCCTAGTAAGGATACGCAGGGGTTAGAATGCAAGAAGTTAACATTTGTCACCTATAGTTATAAATACTCCATAATATCCAGAAAATCCTGAAAATCTCCAGAAGGCGTGGAGGCACTAACAGAATGACCGGCGGGACTAGGAGTTGACATGATATCTTAATCGCCTTAACCTAATTTTAGCTAGGAAGGCTTAGTAGCGTGACTGGCGAATTCTAGTGTAAGGAATGCTTGACAATGTCGAGAGAAACAGATCTGTGTAATGTCGATCTAGATCTGGTCCTCTAGTTTAGTTGGGGGTCGACCAGGTTGGGAGAGGTAGATGTGGATGGGTACAAATGTGTAGGGGGGAATAAGTGAGGGTTGCGTTTTTTAGGTCAAAAACGCGGCCCCCAGATGGCAATTTCATCGTCAATTCTGGTCGCAATGAAATCGCGAGTCAATTTCGTGCAGGAGAATTTTTTTTCGGGCTGCCCGAAATTTTTTTCCCCGAACGTCCAGCGTCAAACCGATTTGACGCGTCCAGCGTCCGGACGTGAACGTCCGGACGCTGGACGCTGCCCTTCCAGGGCGTCAGGCGCAACATAGGCAGGTGGTACTTCCTCCCGAACGCTCTTCTGCAGTCCTTGTGTGGGCACACAAACGACTTCTGCTGTAAGGCAATTGGTGGGGTGGGGTAGCAGGGAGTGGTAGGAAGGCGAGCGAGGGAGGGTGAAGAACCGGAGTGATTGAGTGGGTGAGTGAGTGAGGCCTTCCTAGTCCTCCTCATGCGGACAAAGCCAGCGGACTGAGCATCAATCCCCCTGGAGGGAGTGAATGGCCAAGTGCTGCCTCACATACGATGGCCGGGTGGGTGAGAAACCTTCGGACATTTTACCTAAGCGCCGCTGCTCACTGGAAAATGTCCGAAGATCTGCTAACACTTACGCTTTCTCCAGTATGGCCAAGTGCTGCCTCACATACGATGGCCGGGTGGGTGAGAAACCTAGCATGAGTGCAGGTAAGAGAGTGAGTGTGAGTGAGTGTGAGTGAGGAGAGTAAGAGCAGCCCACCTGGTTCGCGTGGGTGGCCATGTGTTGTCGCACATATGCCGGTCGAGTGAACGCCATGCCGCACTGCCCACACTCATACCGCTTCTCCTTCGCCTTACACCTCCTTCCCCCCTTGCCCTGCTCCACTTCCTCCTTCTCACTCTCCTCCTCCTCTCCCGAATCCTCCTCTTCCTCTTTCTCCTCTTCTTTCTGGTACTTTGACCTCTTTCTCGCCTCCTTCTCCTTTTCTCCCCCCCGCCTCTCCTTGCGCTTCCTCTTATTCCTCTTGCTCCTGTCCTCCTGTATATCTTCTACCTTTATCTCTTCCACCTCCTCCTCCTCATCCTCATCCTCCTTACCCTCATCATTCCCCTCATTCTCCCTCTCCTCGTGCTTACTCCGCTTTTGTCCCCTCTTTCTGCCCTTCACCTCTTCTTCCCCCACCTTCTTCTCCTCCTCCTTCTCCCCCCCCTCCACCATTTCAATCTCCTCCACCTCTTCACCCTCTTCCTCCTCCCTCTCCCCTCCGTCCTCTCCCTCCTCCTCCTCCTCATGTGCCCTCGCCTTCTCTTCTCCTCTCCGACTCCTCTTTTTCTCCCTTTCTCTCTTCGTTACCTTCCCCTTCTCCCTTCCACTCCCGCCTTTCTCTCCCACTCGCCCTCTTCTCACTTCACCACCCACTCGCCTTCCCCTTCTCTCTTCAACATCCCTTCCCTCACCATCCCTCCCCCGAACATTCCCCTCCACTATCTCACACTCCTCAACGTCACACTCCCCCCAATCACGCCCCATACCCTCGCCTTCCCTCGCCTCTCTACCATCACCCACCTCCCCTCCTCCTTTACCGCCCTTTCCCTCTCCCTTTCCCATCACTGTCACTTCCACCACATCGTCATCCTCTCTCGCCTCACTAATTTCATTCTCCTTATCATTCTCATTCTGCCCATTCTTCTCTCTGCCGCCACCACACTCCACACCCTGCCCCTCATCCCCCACTCCATGTCTCTCCCGTTCCTCCTGCTCCCTCCCTTCGCCCCCCTCCCTCTCCCCTCCAACCTCCCTCACTCCCCTCCCTTCGCCCCCATCCGTCTCCCCTCCAACCTCCCTCACTCCCCTCCCTTCCTTCCCCTCCCTCTCCCCTCCAACCTCTCTCACACCCCGCCCTTCAATAACTTCCTTCTCATCTTCCCCCTCCTCTTGCCTCCCCTCCCCTCGCCCCTCCTTTTGTCCTCCCTCTCCTCTCTCCTCCTCCTGCCTCCCCTCCTCCTCTCTCCCCTCCTCATCTCGCCTCTCCACCTCTCTCGTCTCATTCCCTGTACTCACCTCCTTCCTCTCCATCCCCTCTTCCCCCACCTCCCCTTCCCCCACCTCATCCCCCTCTTCTTCACCTACCTTTCTGCCAACCTCTCCCCCCTACACCTCCCCCCACCGTCCCCTCTCCATCTGCCCCTACCTCCGCCTGCCCCACAACCTCCCCTACCTCCTCCCCCACATCCTCCCCCACCTCCTCCCCCGTATCTTCCCCCTCCTCCCCTCCCCCCTCTCCCACCAGCCCCACGCCAGACCACAGCATATATTGCTCCAGTGGGTCTATATACCCGCCCAGGGGGTCCGCGTTGTCTTCCAAACCATCCGCGTACCCATCTAAGGGACCTATACCAGCAGCATTCAAGTGATTCAATGAAGTTTCATCGACTGCTTCTGCTGCTTTTTCCGCCTCTCCTGGTCGACCTTCTCGTGCCTTTCCTGCTGTGGCCGCGCCCCTCTTATCTGCTTCTCCTCCACTATTAGCCTCTTTGCACCCCTCGCAATCCCTGCACCTATTTCTCTCTGTACACTTTTCGCAGCTGATACGGTTCGTTGTTGCTTTCTCATGTGCTGCTTTGTCGTTCTCCTGCTCCTTTCCCCGCTGCTTCCCGTTGCTGCTGCTGATCCTTTTCCGTCCTTCTCTTCCCTCACTCTCCCCCTCCTCCTTCTCCTGCTCCTCTTCCCCATCTCCTTCCCCCTCTTCTTCCCCCTCCTCCTCTTCCCTCTCCTCCTCGTCCTCCTCCTCCTCCCATTCCCCTTCCTCCTCCCACTCCTCGCCCCATCCTCCCTCCTCTTCCCCTCTTTCCGCATCCCCTCCCCCTCCCCTCCTCATCCCCGTTATAGACCATCCTATGTACTCCGCTACAGGGTCAACCCATCCATCTACATCCCCTCTTGACGCCTCTTCCTCATTCCCTTGCATATCAACACGCCCCTTTGCTGCTGTTGCCCTTTCTTCTGTCGCTGTTGCTGCTGCTGCTGCTGCTGCCGCTGTTGCTGCTGCTCCCTCTGCTCGTCTCGCCTCTCTCCCCTCCGCTTTCCCCTCTGCGCGTTTCCCCCCCAGCGCCTCAGCTATTCCCTCCGCCAAACCGTCTATAAGCCCCTCCGCTATTCCCTCCGTCACTCCCTCTCCTACCCCACCCACACCCCCACCCGTGGCACCAACCATGCCCGCACTTGTGCGCGCATCTCCCTTCTTCCCCCCTGCGCTCAGCCCCTTCAACCCTCCGCCCTGCGCCTTTTCCCCCCCGCTTGTCCCCCCCCCATTTCTTTTCCCCTCCCGCTCCGTTCCGTTCCCCTTCTCCGCCTCCCTTCCCCCCTGCTTGCCCCCCTTCGCTTCTCCCTCTCCCCTTTTTCTCTCCTCTAACCCTAATCGTAGCCTCATTTCCCTTTACCTCCCCTTTCATCTCGCAATCGCTTTTTCTGACCGGCCCAGAGCTTTTCCTCCCTGCCCGCGGGGACCGTTCGTCCTCGACTGACGTCATGCTGTCGTCATCCGACAATTCGTCCTCGTTGCTCACGACAAATCCCTTGCTGCTGCAAATGGAACCTTCTGAGCTGCTTCGGGAGCTGCTGCTGCCGCTGCTACTGCTGTTATCACTGCCATTAGTCGCGAGAGCCTTCCCGACATTTCCATCCTTAATCAACGCGCTGTTCCTTCCGCCGGATTCCGCATTAATTCTACCGCCGGCTTCCGCGCTGGTCCTTCCGCATGCATCCGCTCCGCTAGCCTGCGCCAGTCGCGTCGACCTCCGCGTGCTCCGCTGCGGAACCGAACCGCCCACTTCATCTTCCGCGGATGGCATTTCCGCATATAGCGGTGCTGCACGCGCGACCTAAGTGTGTCTGCGCTGCACGCGCGACCTAGCTGTGCCTGCGCTGCACGCACAACCTATTTCTGCCCATGCCTATGTGTGCTGTCCGCGCACAAGTCCGCTGCTGGGGAAGCAGACTGAGTCGAGTTGGTGCTGTTCGGTTGCTCGAGTTTGCAGATACGCTACAGCTTACAGACATACACAAAACCTTCAAACCAACACGGTACAGTTATACGGTATGTTGGAAGTGAGAATGCTTTTACCGTATCGCCCCGGATATAAGCGCCGCGGCGCTTATAATAAAATCGATTTTTTTAGGGGTGGCGCTTGTAATTGAATAACGGCCATAAGCGCCGGCGCTTATATAAAGACAAATACAGAAATACAATTCAAACGCACCAACATGTACATTTCAGTCTCGTAAGTTGAACCGAATTAAGACTTTACAGCGTCCAGAATCAGAATCGCGCGAGGGCGAATTTCTGACGGTGCACTGAGCTTTGGCGCGTCATTTTGCCCGCGTGCCAGCTCATACTGACTGGACGCGCAACCAGTGAGGTCCGCGAAAGTCAAACAAAGTGAAAATGTGATGTGACTCGCTAGAAATATTCGTTACCGTTTTAATCAGGAATGAAAAATAAATTTAGGCATGCGCTTATAATAAGTAAAGCATTTTCAGGGGGGGGGCGCTTGTAATCGAATTCCGGCCATAAGCGCCATGCTCCAGATAGAAGCGCCGGCGCCTTTAATCGGACGGCGCCTATATCCGGGGCGATACGGTATCTTTCTAAACTTTTAACTCTAGCATGTCTTGACCTTCCTTCCACCCACGAGCCACTTCGAAAAAAATATACAGTATGGTAACCCCCTTATACTATATTTCCTCTTTGCTCTTGTGATGGAAGACATTGGAAAAAGATTCAGGCTCAAATTCCATCAGGTGCGGAAGACAAAGCGAAAGTCTACCTCGACTTTCAAGAGTGAAATTAACCAGACTCAGAAAGGTCTTCACTAGAAAAGGAATCAATTCCAGCACAAAATCCTGGAATGGGAGCATCCATTGGCAGTGAATTTTTAGTCCGCACATGCATCGAGGGTTTTCTCCCTGGGACCAACTCCCCGATAATCCTGCCCCGTCCTCTAAAACTAAACTCGTCTCTTCTCCATCCCCTCCATCTTCACCACGCCCCCTCCTCTCCCTTCATCCTCCACCATCCTCCCTCCCTCCCCACCCTCACCCCACCCCCTCTTCTCAAACACAAGGACCTACAGAGCCGTCATTTAGGCGAGCCTTCTGAATCCGAGTGTGCCTCCCCTGAAGGCCCAGGTGCCTCTTGCGCTTCAGGAGTTTTTCCTGATCGTTGAGGTGCTCGCGGTGCTGCTTTAAGTGCTCGTCATGCTGCCGCAGGAGCTCCTCCTCCTGCCTCCCGTGCATCTCCTGCCGCTCTTTCTGTTCCTCCAGGAGCACCTCTTTCCGTTTCAGATACAACACCTCCTGCTCCTGCTGTTCCCTCAGGAGCAACTCTTTCTGCTTCAAGTGTGTCTCTTGCTGCTCCTTTTTTTCCCTCAGGAGCAGCTCTTTCTGTTTCAGGTAGAAATCCTGCTGCTCATTCTGTTGGTCCAGAAAGCGCTCTTTCTTCCGCAGGTGTTCCTCCTGTTGCTTTAAGTGTACTGCCTGCTGCCTCAGGTGAGCCTCCTCCTCCTTCAGGAGAATCTCCTCCTGCCTCAGGTGCTCCTTCTCTGTTGCCTTCAGGTGCTTCCTCAGGTTGCATCGGCAGTCTCTCCTCCCCACAAAATGATGCACCTTCCTATTCAGGTACCTCTTCTGCTCCCTCAGGTGGCCTTTCAGGTGCCTTGTCCTGCAGCCAGCCCCTTCCCTCTCAACACCTCCTCCTCCATGCATTTTCCTCTTGCGCCCCTCCTGCAAGCATGTGAACTCCTCTAGTTCAGCTGCATCTTCCTCCTTCTCTCCCTCACACTCATTCACCCCCCAACTCCCCACATTGACATCCCCCCTGGGACAGAGGGGAGAGGGTTCTCCCTCCCCCTCTCCCTCCCCCTCTCCCTCCCCCTCTCCCTCCCCCTCTCCCTCCCCCTCTCCCTCCCCCTCTCCCTCCTTATCTCCCTCCTCTTCTCCCTCTCCTTCTCCCTCTTCTTCTTCTTCTTCTTCCTCTTGTTCTCCCTCCTCTTCCCTCTTCTCTTCTCCCTCCCTCCTTCCTCCTCCACCAACGTTGCCCTCCCCTCGCACCGGCACCACTGCCTTCCCCAAACTACCCTCATTCCCACCAAGGGGTACCTCTACTCCTTCCGCTGTCCCCCTCCCTTCCCCACCATCGCTGCCCTTCCCATGAAGCGGCATCGCTAGCCTTCTTATGCTGCCCGTATAGCCTAGTAACGATGGATTTCCTCCCTCCTCTTTCCCCCTCTCTCCTCCAACCGCGTTGCCCTCCCTTTGCACCTGTTGCTTCGCTGCATCGCGCTGCATCGCTGCCATTCCCATGGTGTTTCGCTCCTCTGCAGCCAAGGATTGGGTTCTTGCTCTCTTCTCTGTCCCCAACCCTCCTCCGACCGCGTTGCCTTCTCCTTGAACCTGCATCGTTTCCCTTCCCATGCCGCCCTCCCCTGAAGGAAGAAAAAGGGGTGTTTCCTCCTCGCCATCCCTCTCCTCCCCTCTTCTCCCCTTTCCTTCCATCTCCTCGCCTCTCCTTCCATCTCTCTCTATCACAACACTCGTTTTCTTCTCACATTCCTGCCTAAGAACCTCTTCCCTCCTCTCCTCCTCCCTCCTCGCGGCTTCCTTCCTCTCCTCCTCCCTCCTTGCGGCTTCCTTACTCTCATCCTCCCTCCTTGCCGCTTCCTTCCTCTCCTCCTCCCTCCTCGCGACTTGCTTCCTCTCCTCCTCCCTTCTTTCCGCTTCCTTCCTCTCCTCCTCCCTCCTCGCTGCTTCCTTCCTCTCCTCCCTCCTCGCGGCTTCCTTCCTCTCCTCCTCCCTCCTCGCGGCTTCCTTCCTCTCCTCCTCCCTTCTTGCCGCTTCCTTCCTCTCCTCCTCCCTCCTCGCCGCTTCCTTCCTCACCTCCTCCCTCCTCGCGGCTTGCTTCCTCTCCTCCTCCCTTCTTGCCGCTTCCTTCCTCTCCTCCTCCCTCCTCTTCCTCTCCTCCTCCCTCCTCGCCGCTTCCTTCCTCTCCTCCTCCCTCCTCGCCGCTTCTTTCCTCTCCTCCTCCCTTCTTGCCGCTTCCTTCCTCTCCTCCTCCCTCCTCTTCCTCTCCTCCTCCCTCCTCGCTGCTTCCTCCCTCTCCTCCTCCCTCCTCGCGGCTTCCTTCCTCTCCTCCTCCCTCCTCGCCGCTTCCTTCCTCTCCTCCTCCCTTCTTGCCGCTTCCTTCCTCTCCTCCTCCCTCCTCTTCATCTCCTCCTCCCTCCTCGCCGCTTCTTTCCTCTCCTCCTCCCTCCTCGCGGCTTGCTTCCTCTCCTCCTCCCTTATTGCCGCTTCCTTCCTCTCCTCCTCCCTCCTCGCTGCTTGCTTCCTCTCCTCCTCCCTCCTCGCCTCTTCCCTCCTTTCCTCTCCCCTCCTTTTCTCCTCCCTCCTCGCCTTTTCCTTTCTCACCTTTTCTCTCCTCGCCGCTTCCCTCCTCTCCTCCTCCTTCCTCTCCTCCTCCCTCCTCGCCGCTTCCTTCCTCTCCTCCTCCCTCCTCGCCGCTTCCTTCATCTCCTCCTCCCTTCTTGCCGCTTCCTTCCTCTCCTCCTCCCTCCTCTCCGCTTCCCTCCTCTCCCACACCCTCCTCGCGGCTCCCTTCCACCACTCCTCCCTCCTCGCTTCTTCCCTCCTCTCCTCTCCCCTCCTTTCCTCCTCTTCCCTCTCCTTCCCTCTCACTGCCTCTTCTTCCCTCTCCTCCCTAACCACCAGTCCTTCGTGCACCCTCATCCCCTTGTCCCCCTCATGTGCCCTCTTTACCCCCGCCTCACTCCCCTCCGCTCCGCCACGCACACCAAGTACCCTGCTCCCACTTCCCCCCTCTTTCTTGTGCTGCGTCCTTGCATGCTTTAACATGCTGCGTCGATTCTTGAAGGTTTGAGAGCAGTGGGGATGAGAGCATGGGAGCTGGTGATTGGGGAGGGGAGGGCGGGGAAGCGAACAGGCAGAGGAGAATCAAGTTACACCAATTGGATTGTAACGCTGTTTCCGTGGATGATACACCATATCATCTCCGCACTTGAAGGTGCAAGGGCAGTGGAGATGAGAGCATTGGTGCTGATGTTTGCGGGGAAGGGGGGGGGGGGGGGGAGGGGGGGGGGGTGGGGGAAGAAAACAGGTAGCAGAGAAACAAGTCGCGGAAAAACAGGGTGCCAGTTAAGGAGGAAGGGAGAACCGGGACAAGAAGCGGAGGCGGAGGGGAAGCTTTTGAGTCGACTCAAAAGAAGCGGAGGCGGAGGGGAAGAGAGCGAGGGTAACTTACCCGGGGAGGAGCATTGGGGTTGTGAGTAAGAATGTGCTCCTTCAACAGGTGGTTGGATGAGAATGCCTTTTGGCAGTTTTCATGCGGACACACGAACTGATGCAGTGGAGGGGGCAATAAGGGATGGAAGAGGATAAGGTAATGAGAGAAGTGAACAGCAGGGACGAGAAAGGGCAAAGATAGGAAAGAGAGAATGTCGAAGCGGATAGGGGCAGCGGAAATGGAAACGAGGGAAGAGGCAAGGATGATGAGGGAAAGGGAAAACGGGGGGCGGGGGTGTGGGGGGTGGGGAAGCAGGCAAGGGGGAAAGGGGAGGGTGGGGGACAGAGGGAGCGAAGAGAGCTCACTTGGCAAGCATCGGGGTTGTGATGAAGGCGAAGGTGCCTCTGTAGCTGGTAGTTGAATGCGAATGCCCTTTCGCAATTATCATGCGGACACAAAATCTGCAGTGAGAGAGGCAGTACGAGAGGGAGGGGGGGAGGGGAGGAGAGAACAACGGATACTTAAGGCTACGTTTTGAGTCGATTAGAAAACGATGATGGAATGAAGGGAAACGGGTAGAGGCACCTGAGACGTGCGGCTGTGAAGTGTGAGAGTGAGGGAGTGAATGAGTGAGCGAGGGAGTGAAGGAGGGAGGGAGCGAGGGAGGGAGCGAGGGAGGGAGGGGGGGAGGAAGGGAGGGAAGGGGGGAGGGAGGGAGGGAGGGAGGGAGGGAGGGAGGGAGGGAGGGAGGGAGGGAGGGAGGGAGGGAGGGAGGGAGGGAGGGAGGGAGGGAGTGGGGAAGGGAGCGAGTGAGTGAGTGAGCAAGGGAGTGAGAGGGAGTGAGTGAGTCCGCGAGTGAGTGAGTGAGTGAATGAGCAAGCGAGCGAGTGAGTGAGCGAGTGAATGAGTGAGTGAGTGAATGAGTGAGTGAGTGAGTGAGTGAGTGAGTGAGTGAGGGAGTGAGGGAGGCACCTCCTTCGAGTGGGTGGCCGCGTGATTCTTCAACCTCTGTCGTGTAGGAAACGCCTTTCCACACTCGTCACAGGCGTAGAGCTTCTCATTCCCCCCCTGCCTCTCCTCGTTCTTCTTCATTTCCCCTTTTTTCTCCCCCCTCTCGTTCTCCCCCATTGTCACAATGCAAACATCCTTCTCCTCCTCATCCACCTCCTCATCCACCTCATCCTCCACCTCATCCTCCACCTCATCCTCCACCTCATCCTCCACCTCATCCTCCACCTCATCCTCCACCTCATCCTCATTTTCCTCGTCGCCGTCGACGTCCTCCTCTTCATCCTCTCCCACCCACTCCACCGTGCCCCCATCCCCATCCCCATCCCAATTCCGCTGCCACATCCCAATTCCGCTGCCGATGCCCCTCGAGTCTTGAGGCGCCCTCATATTTATTTTCAAGCGTAAAGCACCGTCCCTATCCATCACAAGATCATTCAAGATCATATTTATTTTCCGTGTTCGTTGCAATGATGATCCCATCCCTCTCTCTAGCGCGCTACGGGTCCTTAATCTACTCCCAGGGTAACCTTCGAGCCAATTCGTGAAAGTTAACTTCTGAACTCGAATCACGAGTCACTTTTTACTACCGTTCTTTAGTCGACTCAAGCTGATTTAGACGTGAAGTGAAACTATTCCCCGACAGCGCAGTGCGCAACCGTTGACATCACAACCGCGCAGCCTGCTCGCCTTTACGCTCTATACCAAGTGACAACAGAGAGCTTTTGGACGTCCGCGCCTCGACGTTCTATACCGGTCCCACCGTGTGGTTTACTCGGCGTACTCGACCTACTTGATTGACCTATTCGCTATGTGAAGATACAGGGCGACACATTTGAATGTCGAAGGAAATGAAATGGGGCGCATGCAGCAGCTTCGCAGCGCTGGGCCTTTCGTAATGCATGTAGCTCGGCGTGGAAGGGAGTTTCATAAGCACTACTGGCCCGAATTTGCCACGTGTCTCAACCCAACGAACGTTTCTTGTCATCAATCCATCGTCTTACGTAGTGGCTAAAGCCTAAAGGCACCTCACCTCACTCAAAGTAAGCGCTTATTCGCAAATGTGAACGAGGTCACTGATTGGTTGAGAGATAAATTGCCGCATGTAGTGCAAGGTTGGCTGCAATTCAAGTTCCACCTTGACAGCTGCGACATTAGTTGACCCACAATTACCATTGCTCGAGAGAAACTCCTCCAATGCATCACTATAGAGGAAAAAAAGCTATTCCTGTACAGCTAAGTTATCAGGAGGGAGAATTTGTGGGGGAGTGAGCTGCATGACATACTCAACCGGCTCGAAGTCAATACGTTTAATTCAATACGTTTTTAAGCAGTTACGACAGAGACACACATATCGTAAGTCAAATTTACTCAACCGCATGCGGTATCAAATTCTCAAATTGGAACTCAGTTACTGCTCATATGGTTCAATTTCTACAAGCCAGGGTGAAGCACATAATGAGCGAACATTTCTCTCGCTCGTGTCCCTCAACCGTATGCATAAAAGAGCCCCCCAAGCTATTGGGGAAAAGAAAAAGGCATCAATTGTGAAAGCTTTGCTTAGTCCATCTTGCAAAGGCAGCGTGCTTCATTCCAAATGGGAAGTTACAACGTTCTCGTCCATCAATGATACACAATGGGGTGGGTGGTGGGAAAGTAATGTCAAACATTATATATGTTATGCTTGTGTAGGCTACAGTGGGTTAGCCTATAGGGGGTACACAATTCTAGGGTTTCCTACTTGTACTCATTTCACTGCTAGTTCATTCATTCCTGTTCGCTTATTCTCACATGGTATAGAGCGGGTCCTTCTACGGACCGTTTTTTTGGGCCCACCGAAGCGCCCCCCGAGGCGCGATCTTTTTTTTAGCGACCCCTCGGGTCGCCATTTCCCCTGCGGCCCCGCCGCCTTCACTGACGCGGCCCCGCCGCCCTCTCTGTCGCGGCCCCGCCGCCTGCTCTCACGCGGCCCCGCCCCGGCTCCTTCGCGGCCCCGCCGCCTGCTCTCGCGCGGCCCCGCCCCGGCTTCTACGCGGCCCCGCCCCGGCTTTCACGCGGCCCCGCCGACGGCTTTGTCGCGGCCCCGCCCAGGCCCTTACGCGGCTCCGCCGCCTGCTCTCACGCGGCCCCGCCCCGGCTCCTTCGCGGCCCCGCCGCCTGCTCTCGCGCGGCCGCGCCCCGGCTTCTACGCGGCCCCGCCCCGGCTTTCACGCGGCCCCGCCGACGGCTCTGTCGCGGCCCCGCCCAGGCCCTTACGCGGCCCCGCCGCCTGCCCCCGTCGCGGCCCGGTCACCTCCTGACGGCCCCGCCGTCCCTTCCTGACGGCCCCGCCGTCCCCTCCTGACGGCTCCTGCCGTCCCCTTCTACCGGCCCCGCAACTGCACCTGCTGGCCCCGCCGCTGCACCTACCGGCCCCCCACCACCCACCCCCCCTTTTCCTGTCGCCCGTCGCGGCTCCTTCGGGGGCCGCAAGCGGCCCCCTCAGGTCGCCTCGACAGGCGACGGGAGAGGCCAGCAGAGGGGTGGCAGGTGTGTGGCCTCCCCTGCTTCTCCTCCTCCTTCATCTCCCACTGCAGCAGCCGAGCCGCCCCACAGCCGAGCCGCCCTGCCGCCGAGCCGCCGGGTCGCTGAGCTGCTGAGCTGCAGTTGCTGCCGAGCCGCCCTGCCGCCGAGCCGCCGAGTCACCGAGCTACTGAGCTGCAGTTGCTGCTGAGCCGCCTTGCCGCCGAGCCGCCCGAGTCGCCCGAGCCGCCGAGCCGCCGAGCTGCCGAGCCGCTGAGTCGCCGAACCTACTCTTCCCACCACTGGTGAGCTCTTGCCCTGCTAGCACGCTGCGCGTCGCCTGCTTGCCTGCCTGCCTGCCTTTTGGCTTGCCTGGCTGCCTGCCTCCCTGCTGCTAGTCCTGCTCCTGCTTCTACTTGCGGAGCCAAATGCAGCCCCAGCGACGCCGGCGTGAGTCCCTCACGCCGCAGCAGCTGCGTGAGTGGTACGCTGGTTGGGGCTGTAGGGGTGGCGACGCTACTCCTACTACCACTCCTGCTGCTTCTACTCGTGGTGGCGGCCAGATGCAGCTCCCGCGACCCTCTCGCGTGTCTCTCACGCCTCGCCAGCTTCGTGAGTGGTACGCTCAGAGTGGAGGGTCTCTCAGTGCTGTTCGCTGCTCTTACGTGATTCGCACTGGTACTCGGACTGGTCAGCCTTGTGGGACACATAGTCATACACCGTCCCGCTGCTTCGCCCGTCTGAGCGACGCCTGGCGTACCGTGTTTGGCGACGAGGCTGAGCTTCCCGACTGGGTGGAGTTGCTTAGGCAGAGGGTAGATATATATGCTCTTGACTATGATGCTATTCTCACTGCCATGTATGCATTGCCTACTAGTGCTGACCGTGCAGGTCACCTGTGCGTCCCGCCTGACCCAGGTATAGGACCTGCTGCTCTAGCTACTGGTGAGGCTGCTGCTCTGGGTGCTAGTGAGTCTCCTGCTCCAAGTACAGGTGAGGCTGCTGCTCTAGGTGCTAGTGAGTCTGCTTCCTCAGGTGCGGGTGAGGCTGCGCTCTCAGGTACCGCGTTGGCTTCGGCCTCCCTCACCTTTACACTTGACTCTGGGGCTTCTCGCTCCTTCTTTCGGGACCGCACCACACTCACGCCACTTGGTCGGCCGGTTGCAGTCTCCCTGGCTGACCCCTCTGGGGGTCCTGTCCTCGCTCACTTCTCCACTGTCCTCCCGTGTCCGGCTGCCCCCTCGGGCACCCTGTCTGGCCTGTACCTCC